TGTAGGCCTACCATGTTCGGTGTTCTTACGATCGGCAAAACATACACACACTGGCATTTTATTTCTAAAATTACGAAATTTTACCTGAACAATTGACCTTAACCAGGGAAATGTCTTTTTCGACGACTCATCAAAACCAGCCTCGCGCCGTTTTCGTGTTTCTACACGCTTCCGTTTTTGTGCTGTGCTAGCGGTGATTGTACGTTTTAGCCGGGCGGCATCACCTTTTTTTCCTTTACATGTTGTGTCAAATAGCATCTCGGTGTTTGCAACTTGAGTGACAATTTGTTCCCCATTGACAGCGTCTGTACTTCACACGTGTTTAACAATGGGACTGTTTAATTTGCCCCGGCAAGTTCAAACCGCCGTGGCGTAGAAGGTGATAATTTATGCAGTGCTACGTGTGAGCGGGTCAAATGGATGTAAACAATGCATCCTATTAGCATGGTGGTGAAGTTGTAAGCATGGCGGTCCGAGCTCAAGCGTGGCGGCCGGGTCGCCAAGCATGGCGGTGCCGCCATGCTTTGTTCTATGTGGGGAGAACACTGCATGTATACAAGTTCTAAGCTGGAAATGTGTTGATTACTGGATAAATATGTTTACATTTCTGTCTTCTGCCATGTGTTGTGCTTTCCCCAACAGTATTTTCAGATGTACCTTGGCTAATTTTGTTCAAACTTGATTTGATTATTATTCGATTTACTGATGCACATTTTTTTTTTGCCAATTTGATTCAAGATTGCCTATTGGTGGCCATTTTGTGTTATTACCTGTACCATCTTATTACCACCATGCCTGTACGTAGTATTTTGCCTGTCCTTGTTAATTTATAGGATATTCTCAGACACATTTTGTACAAAATCTTTGCAGAAACTTTGAGCTGACATTTTAACACTTCAGATAACAAACCATTATAAATGGTAACAAATCAGAAATGCATGGAAACAACAGAATGTTAAAGACCGACATGGTATATAAACATGTGCTGTCGGAGTCACTATTCAAATGAAGTCGCCCTCACCCACAGCAACAACAGTGAATGTAAGCTCCACAAAAACACGAGAAACAGTGATTCATTGCATTATATATTTTATATTTTTCAGACGTGAATGGCACCATGAATGTTCAGGGAAGCCATAAATAAAAATAGCAGTCAATTTGACAGCACAACCATTTTCTTTTGCCAATAAAATGTGTTACAAAACCGTGGAGATTTAAATTTGCTGTCATTGTGTACGCCCACTTCATTTTGAAAATGTCTGATTATCATACGAGGTGAAATAAACACCAGTTGTTTGTTTCTGTTTACAATAGGATGCATTACAAAAGGTAAACATGGATGAGCCTTTTTGCAACAAGGGGCAGGAATCAAAACCAGGCAGAATATTATGTAATGTGTCTGAAAATGTTATTGTTATGTATGGTATATTATTTTAAGTCATGAACGCCCATAATTTGGTTTGAAATCAATAAACGGCATTCATAAGCCGATCCCAACAATTTTGCCTGTGGTTATAAGTGCACTTGATGTACCTTTTCTTGAACACCTGTTCGTATGCTGGTGTATGGTCGATCAACATTCTCATTCCAGTTTTACATACATACAAGGTTCACTATAGCTGAAACAGTGGTTATAAACATTTGCTACTCAGTATCCCCACACAATGTACCTATTTACATACATAATTTCAAGAAATACCAGTATGTGACATGATAGGCTGAACATGAAATGAACTTTAGTCGTGTTGTTGATTATTTGCCAACCAAAAATCACAAACTTCTTCTAAGACTTTGCATTTAGTAAACATTTTCTAGATTACTCCATGGGTTGCCATAAGGGTTGACCACACACTATGTAATTTTTGCTGAATCGAAGAACCAGAAAACTTGATTGTAAAACAAGTAGGTTACTTTCGCTCTGTCATCCTTGAAATAAAGATAGCGACAAAATATAGGCTAACGAGTTTACAGCAACTGCGACCGGATATGAAAATTAGTCATATAAACAGGAAATGTAATAGGGATCTTGAATACATTGTATAATTTGTTGCGCATGTTAATGTTATGACTTTGTATTTTTAAATCAAATATTTTATTTTATGGTTTGAAAACACCAATTGATATATATAAGAAGCAAAAAAAACCCTGGTTACTAGCAATGATAGCAACAATATATGACTCTAAACTTACGATTTCCCTGTAGAATGAAAAAATAGTATGTTCAAAGCAGCTGTTGCCTATGAAAGGTAATAAGTAAAATACGTGAACGGATGTGTTTTATTTCACCTCGGTCTGAGAATTCACGCTTGTCGTATTTATATATTCTACGCAACATGGTTTATGTCTGTGAATATATATTTTGAACATTGCCACATGGACAATGTCACTCTTGAAGACTCTGCATATTTGACTTGAATTTGATTCCCACTGCCTCATCATCAGAAATGAATTGTTTATTATACATAGCTCAGATCAGATCAGTAACTATACACATAAACAAGAGGCAAGCGCAGCCGTCAACTTTCTGCATACAAGGAACGATTGACAGTTGCTGTCGTTGAATAATCAGTCAAATCAGAATACTAAGCTCGGCCCATCCCATGGGACATAACTGAGGCTAGTAAATGAATGTCAGGACAAATGTAAATTGAATTCTTGTGACCCAAAGGTCGCCTGCAGGTCAAACCCAAATTCATGACTACTGTAAAAGCATTAATTATTCACTGGGTTTTAATTTCACTGTTTTCACTGATGTAAAATAACAATAAAACTCATTGTTTTCTTGATAAATTCATGAAATATCAGTGAAAATGAATGGTTTTACAGTATCTTAACAATTTGACAATAACATTGTTATTTTCACCTATAACCATATAAAAAAAAATTCTATTTATAGCACAGTGAATCAATTTGTCCTTTGACCCCGTAATTAACCTTTGGACTAATGCACTCATATGAACCACCTGTTTGTGGGCTTATTATGTGTATTGTTAAAATGAAAGGGTACATAATGTGATCAGTGGCAGCAGGGTTAGTGTAACATGACGAATAAATGTTTCACTTGACCATGTAGTTCAACACTTCACTGCAAATATCTGGATTTAAGTTTCACTAAAGGATAGATTCCCTGTGTCACACTCTGATGAAGGGTTCAAAGGTTACAATGTATGAGGGTTGGGTGGTTTTGATATCTTAATAACAAAAGTAATCATAACAATACATGTAGTTTTTGAAGATGGCAAGAACCAGTGCATGTATATGTATATGTATAGTCAGTTGATGTAAAAAATAATAAAATTCACCAGTGAACAATATTATTTGGTTTAGTGGGGCTTTCATTTTCACAGAACTGCCAGTTAGCCATTTCTGTGGATATACATGTATAACACCAGTTATTTCTACCTCTTATTTGAACTACTAGTACATTAACAACTGCCTGAATTTCATTGAAAGAAATAATTGAGTACTGTAAATGCATTAATTATTGACTGGGTTTTGATTTTGCTATTTTCACTGAAAAATAAAATCCCTGAAATTAAATCTACATGTAAAATAACAAATTTGTGAAATTAAATCACAGGGAATATGCTAAATAGTGAAATTAAATGTCAGTGAAAATAAATGGTTTAACAGTACCGGTAATTCTTATTTAAGTGCCAGGACCTTAATTGGTCATGCATAATGCTGATTGCTGGACTATGTATGTGTTCATTTCAAGTCAACTCTTAATTGATGCTTGCAATGATTACTATCCTGCACCTTTGGGCTATATATTATAGACAGCATCAAGTTTTATTAACCTTATTTGGCATTAGAAGAAACTCAACATGGTGTCATGTCAGCAGGGTTCCTCCTTGGTCAATGTAATATACAAAGCTCTGTTGTTATGCAAATTATATGCTTCAATTTCTAATTTGATGGAGGACCCTAGGTCTGCCCCCATGACATCTATGTATTGTTTCTCCTACCTGCATTATTTACTGGTACATGTATTTATATATAGACCATCATCATCATCTCATCTCTTACTACTTGGTGATTCCCTCTCATGTCATTGTGACGTTCGTACTTCTTTGTAACATGCTGTATGGTCTGGTGAATTTTCAGGCGGAGGCCAGACTCGCCGCGAGGCGATCGGCGAGGGCTGAAGCCAGGGAAATCAGGATGAAGGAACTGGAACGACAGCAAAAAGAGGTGAGTATTGCGTGTTGATTCTCTCTTTTCTCGTTTGTTTTATTCAACAATCGTTAACATTTCATCTATTTTAGTGCATTCATTCCTTTAATTATATTGATTAGATTTCAAATTGATGAACTCATTAAAAACATTCAGCTTTTGGAAACTTTTTGTAGGAAATCAGAAGAATCAGTCGTGTATTGTGGGAAACTGAATTTTTTCTTTCTTGCTATTGATTTGAAATGAACCTTGGCCTGAAGCAATGTCTGAACTGTCCTTTCTAGTCACAACAGTTCCATCAGTTAATTAACTATCAGCTGGGTTTTAATAATACAGTATTTTCTACATGAATAGCACTAGCAGTTTATGTAAATGTCTGACATGTGTCTAAAATATGTCATATTACAATCGGTTATTTTGCGATGGAAACATTGGAGGTGTGCTTCTGATAGAGCAAATATGGTACATGTTACAACACTTGTGTCCTAAAATACCTATGTTCAGACAAAACATTACCATTCTGTGAGTCTGAAACTAATAATCATACATTTAACAAAAGTAGTAATTTTTATTCTAGTTCACTAACATGTGCTCCCACTATAGTTGAACTCATGAACTTTGTCTCGTATAAAGAGACAATTTTAACTATTTACATGTATTTATGATTCCTGTAAGACACGTAATGGCTATATTGTCCCTTGCTATCAGTAACAATACTGGTACCAGCATTATAGACTTGTTGTCATTTATTTGTGTACTTATAACACCTTTACTGTCATAGGTCATAGATTAAATTTGATTTGATCTCCAGCTGATGCGCCTATTCCCATGAGTCCTATTGAAAGGGGAATCTTAGTGTACTGGTTGGGTGGTCAGCGTGTAGAATGATTTGTCTATGTTAAAGCTGCTTCACATGCTGTTCATATTAAATGTATTATGGAAGATGGAGAATTATTGTAAAATACTAATTTACGCTATTTTTTGCTGAAGGATGATTCAGTGAAAATACTTTTTTTCCTATATTTTACATTTAACTTGTCAAAAATCAGTGAAAATAAATTCCATACAAAACACCAAAAAAGTCTTTTCAGCAAAAATTAATTCCAGCTAAAATAAAGTATTTTACAGTATTAATGATGATGGCTAACACACTTTTGAGACACAAATTTATCTAATATTTTGTTATATAGCAACAGGGAAAACAAGTTAGTACAGGTAATTGATCTGTGATTTGAAGATTGTCTAAAAAGTTACTAAGTTTGCTACTAAAACAACCTATACAACATCCTAAAAACTTAGATACAGACGAATATTGTATTGCACATGTAGTACTACAGTACCACTGTTTGTCTAAGGAATTACCATTGTTTTGTTTGTCTAAATCAAACAACTTTGTGCAAAATTAATGATATATTATTACAAAATGTAATGTGATTTAGGAACTTTTCATTACTAAGATTGCAAAGCCACTCATAGGAAGTAATTTAAGGTGGCAACAGGTGGAAAACTTGTTAAAAATGGAACTGTGATGTTTGTAACATGTTTTTGTTTTGACATTGAAGTAATCTAGCAATGGCTTTATCCATGCAGTAAACTCCCTTGTGAATCATAAAAAAATGACAGTAAAATCACAGAAAAGTACAATATCAAGATTATTTAACTATTCAGTGTTCTAATAACTATGTTCATTCTTAAATAGAGGAGCTTGGTTGATATATTTATTTGCAGAAGATACCTTCATAAAATGTTGCTGTCGCATATGTTTTCTGCACCCATTCTTTCAAAACTGTAATGGTCACCGAATGCCAAGTGTTGGTACTTCTAGAGCTCATTTTACTTGTTGTTAGTAGTGATTTATATCAAAAAATAAATACCGGTGATGTGGATTATCTCTTTCAGGCCGAGAAGAAAATGGATGAAGAATTTGCACAGATCAGTGATGAAAAATTTGTTGGTGTCAAAAATATTGCCAAGGTAATTATGTTGAAACTGTCATGAGGGTAGTATCAATAGTAGTTGCTATGGTGATAAATATGGATGTAATAATCAAAGTTACTACCATGCAAGGAGTGTGAACTGGACAACACTATCTTTTGACTTTTCTTGGTAGTTATATAGCATTTATGTTCTTCCAGCTGTGGCAGTTCAAATGAGGGTACATTTAGAGCTTACATGACAATATCATACTGTGCCTGTCCACTGATTATAATTACGTCATGTCCATATTACTCTATGACGTCCTTTTCACCAAATTTGTTTGCATGTTTTTCTTGTATATTCTTCAATATTTCTAGAAATGAACCCTAATTTTGGAGCCAACAGGCAACATTTGCGTCAATTTTTAGTTCTTCCTCCAAAAATTTTGCTATTTTTGTCTCAAATCAAGACTGTAAAGAGAACTATTTTGTGAGTTTGTGATAAAAAGCGGGAACTGGTGGTGAATAGGTTAAATGTACTGAAAGTCATATTCACACTAGACTTGAAATGATGCAATGATAATTTTGTTGTATGCAACATGTGCCTTTCCCATTTTTGTATTGTTTGTGCTATAACTGCTCTCAGTCTTGGTGGTCATTTCAAATATAACATAAGGCCAGCTTTCAGCTTTTATAAGAATGTTAACACCACCAGTAAAAGTGTTAAGTAGCTTTATATTCATTGATTAACTCTGATAGTTATACCGCGTTTTTGTTCTTTTAGCTGTGGCATTTCAAATAGGGGTACATTTAGAGATTACATGACAATATCATACTGTGCCTGTCCACTGATTATGTTCACGTCATGTTTATTTTTCTCTATCACATCATTTTGTTCTTTTATCTTCAGCAACCTACAGCAATAATTAATGCCAGATCTATGATGACGTCTTCACAGAGCAGTCTCAGCAGTGGGACGTCACAACGAGACAATGAAGAAAACATACAGGAAATTACATCAGATGATTTGAAGGTTAGATAAGAATGGATGTCAATAAAACAGTTTCCACATATGCTCATGTTTATTGGAAATTAAGAGTTCTGTAATATCTATATTAGAAGCCACATCCCTAATAGAAAACATTTGAGAACCAAAAATTTCTCATTTCTCATATGTGTACATGCTCTAATTGAAGCCGCATCCCTTCTGTTGCATTATACCATTTTAATAGAAGTCGCTGCTTCTATTACAGATTTTACAGTATTTTGAAAACTAAACTTAAAGTTTACAGTGAGAAAGTGGTGCACCTTTAGAAAATAAGAAGTGACCATGATTCCACTGTAACTGAAAATGTTTAAATGAAAAGTACATTATTACAAACTGTAGAATACTTTGTTTACTTGGAATTTATTTTTGCTGAAGTGATGATCCAGTTAAAATAAAATCCAGCAAATATACATTTTTTCTATATTTCGAACTCAATACAAGATCCAAAAAGTCTTTTCAGCGAAAAATTAATTCCAGCTAAGTGAAGTATTTTACAGTATATGGTCGAAGGTATAATATGTAAAGAATGACATACAGTGGAACGTCGATTATCCGG